TCCCAAAAATTCCCAAAAAAATCCCCCAAATTCCCACAACCTCCCCGTTCCCCGTGGTGTCCCGGCAGTGGAGCGGCGGCGCCGGGACAAGATCAACAACTGGATCGTGCAGCTCTCCAAAATCATCCCCGACTGCGGCGCCGACGGCGGCAAATCCGGCGCGGTGAGAGCGGCCCCGGAACGCCGGGAATTCGGGGCACTTCGGGGCATTTTCGGGGAATTTGGGGAATTTTTTTTTTTGGAATTTTGGGGGGATTTTTTTGGGATTTTTTTGAATTTTTTGGAGTTTTTTGGGGTTTTTTTTTTTTGATTTTTGGGGGTTTTTTGGGGGATTTTTTTTGAATTTTGGGGATTTTTTTTTTAATTTTTTGGGGATATTTTGGGGTTTTTTGGGGGACGTTTTGCGGGTTTTTTGGGGATTTTTTGGGGGTTATTTGGAATTTTTTGAGGTTTTATTTGGAATTTTTGGGGGGGTTTTTTTGGGATTTTTTGGGTGGTTTTTTGGGATTTTTGGGGGGATTTTTTTGGGGACCGTTTTGGAGAGTTTTTTGGAATTTTGGGGGATTTTTTGGGATTTTTTTGGGATTTTTTGGGGGTTATTTGGAATTTTTTGAGGTTTTATTTGGAATTTTTTGGGGGACCTTTTTGAGATTTTTTAGGGATTTTTTGCGTGTTTTTTTGGGATTTTTTTGGGATTTTTTTGGGGACCATTTTGGAGATTTTTTTTGAATTTTGGGGAATTTTTTGGGGGGACTTTTTGGGATTTTTTTGGGATTTTTCTGGATTTTTGGGGGGTTTTTTGGTGTTTTTTTAAATTTTCTGGGGTTTTTTTGGGATTTCTTGAGGTTTTTTTTGGAATTTTTTTGGGGACCTTTTTGGGGAGTTTTTTGGGATTTGGGGGGAATTTTTTGGGGATTTTTTGGGGGATTTTGTTGGAGTTTTGGGGGGGATTTTAAGGGATTTTTTGGGGATTTTTGGGCATTTTCAGGAGTTTTTAAATTTATTTTTCACGGGAATTTTAAGGGATTTTCAGGGGGACTTTTTGGGGAATTTTTTGGGGAGATTTCAGGAGTTTTTGGGGATTTTTTTTTTGATTTTTGGGGATTTGGGGTGAAGCGTTGGGGAAATTTGGAGGGAAATCGGGGATTTTGGGGTGGAAATTTGGGATTTTGGGCGTTTGGGGCGGGATTTTGGGGCTTGGGAAGAAATTGGGGGATTTGGGGAGAACATTTGGGAACTCGGGGGGAGATTTGGGGGGGTCCGGGCTGATTCTGGAGGGGTCTCAGGTGAATTTTTGGGGGTCTCAGGTGCAGTTTTGGTGCCCCAGGTGAAATTTTTGGGGTCTCAAGTGCAGTTTTGGGGTCTCAGGTGCAGTTTTGATGCCGCAGGTGAATTTTTGGGGTCTCAGGCGAATTTTTTGGGGGTCTCAGATGAAATTTTGGAGTCTCAGGTGCAGCCGGGGGTGGTTGAGGGCGGTTTTTGGGGTCTCCCAGGTGGATTTTTGGGGGGTCCCGGGTTAATTTTGGGGAGGGGTCGTGCCGGGGGTGGTTGAGGGCGGTTTTTGGGGTCTCCCAGGTGGATTTTTGGGGGGTCCCGGGTTAATTTTGGGGAGGGGTCGTGCCGGGGGTGGTTGAGGGCGGTTTTTGGGGTCTCCCAGGTGGATTTTTGGGGGGTCCCGGGTTAATTTTGGGGAGGGGTCGTGCCGGGGGTGGTTGAGGGCGGTTTTTGGGGTCTCCCAGGTGGATTTTTGGGGGGTCCCGGGTTAATTTTGGGGAGGGGTCGCGCAGAGCAAGGGCGGGATCCTGTCCAAGGCCTGCGATTACGTGCGGGAGCTGCGCCAGAGCAACCAGCGCCTGCAGGAAACCTTCAAAGAGGCCGAGCGGCTGCAGATGGACAACGACGTGTTGCGACAGCAGGTGCTCCTGTCGCGACAGGCCCCGCCCCCAAAAAACCCCGAAATCGCCGCAAAAATCGCGGCAAAAATCGCCCCAAAATCGGCTCCGATTCGGCCGCGGGGAGCGGCGTGAATGGGGAGGCCACGCCCATTGTGGGCGGAGCGTTGTCCTTATATGGGTGGAGGGCACGCCCACAGCGTAGGGCGGGGTTCCCACGGGGGTTCATTGAGAAAAAAAAGGGGGGGGATTTTG